ATACACTAACTGGTACAGTTTTAAAGAGGGTACCAAGCAGAGAGACCTGGGGTTTCACAAACACACGTGTTAGAAGGTGGCAGGTTGCTAAGAGCTGTTTAAAAAAAAGCATATGGGATCCTTGGCTTTATAAATAGAGGCATAGAGGATAAAAGCGAGGAAGTTCTGCTAAACATTTATAAGGTACTGGTTAGGCCTCAGCTGGAGAATTGTGTTCAATTCTGGGCATCACACTGTAGGAAGGATATCAAGGCTTTGGAGAGGGTGCAGAGATTTACCAGAATGGTACCAGGATGGGGGAGTTTAGTTATGTGGAGACTAGAGAGGCTGGGATTGTTGTACTTAAAGGGAGATTTAATAGAGGTGTTCAAAATTATGAGGGATTTTGATAGAGTAGATGGGGAGAAACGGTTTCCACTGGCAGCTGAGTCAATGACCAGGGGACATAGATTCAAGATAATTGGCAAAAGAACCAGAGGGGAGAAGTTTTTCCCCTCCAGAGTTGTTATGGTCTGGAATGCACTGCTTGAATGGTGGAAATAATAATAATCCTTGCATTTGATATAGCGCTTTTCACGTCGGGAGGACGTCCCAAAGCGCTTCACAGAACACACTGTAAAGTGAATTGACTGCATATTTGTGGGCGAACGCGGCAGCCAATTGCGCACAGCAATGTCCCACAAACAGTCGTAGATTAAAAATGTTTTTTTTAGGGATTATTATTAGGCTCTGTGTGGAGTAAGGAAACTTGCCCAAGGTTTCGCCCTGCCTGGAAATGGATACAATAACAACTTTGGATAGGTACTTGAAGGGAAAAAAATTACAAGGATATGTGGAAAGAACGGGGAGGTGACTGATTGGGTAGCTCTTCCAAAGGCCGAATGGCCTCCTTCTGTGCTGCAATATTCTATAATTCTACGATTTCCTCCCAATGTGAAAGGTGCTTATAATAAACACACTTCTTGTTGTTGTAGTAGTAAATATAAGAGTTAAAGTGTTGTTGATTCGAAACTCTTTCCAACCCTGGGCAGTCTTGGTTATTTTTCTGAGAACAAAAACTGATCCAAAACCAAAGCAACATTTATGAACCAGGATCTGTCACTCCCCAAGGCGTGGCACCAGCAGAAACATTCCTCTCCCTCTCTCTTTCTCTCCTGCAAAAACTTGGCAGCTGCACTGTGGGGCTGGTTACAGCGGGTGGGTTGCGGCTGGGGGGTGGGCTGCGGCTGGGGGTGGGGTGTGGTGGGGGGTGAGCTGGGGGTTGGGGGTGGGCTGGGGGTTGGGGGCTGGGCTGGGGTGGGGCTGGGGTTGGGCTGGGGGTGAGGGTGGGTTTGGGGGTGGGGTTGAGTGGGTGAGTTGGGGGTGGGGCTGGTGGTGGGGATGGGGTGGGGCTGTGGGTGGGGGGTTGGCTGGGGGGGTGGGCTGGGGGTGGGGTTTGGAGTTGGGTGTGGGTTGGGGGCTGGGCTGGGGGTTGGGTTGAGTGGGTGAGTTGGGGGTGGGGTTGGGTTGAGTGGGTGAGTTGGGGGTGGGGCTGGGGGTTGGGGGTGGGGTTGAGTGGGTGAGTTGGGGGTGGGGCTGGGGGTGAGGGTGGGGTGGGGTTGAGTGGGTGGGTTGGGGGTGGGGTTGAGTGGGTGAGTTGGGGGTGGGGCTGGGGGGTGGGGTTGAGTGGGTGGGTTGGGGGTGGGGTTGAGTGGGTGGGTTGGGGTGGGGTTGAGTGGGTGAGTTGGGGTGGGGCTGGGGGTGAGGGTGGGGTTGAGTGGGTGGGTTGGGGTGGGGTTGAGTGGGTGAGTTGGGGTGGGGCTGGGGGTTGGGGTGGTGTTGAGTGGGTGGGTTGGGGGTGGGGTTGAGTGGGTGGGTTGGGGGTGGGGCTGGGGTGAGGGTGGGGTTGGGGTGGGGTTGAGTGGGTGATTTGGGGGTGGGTTGGGGTGGGTGAGAGTTGGGGGTGAGGGTGGGGGCTATGGGTGGGGTGAGGGTGGGGCTGGGGGTGGGGCTGTGGGTGGGGGCTATGGGTGAGGGTTGGGGGCTATGGGTGGGCTGTGGGTGGGGGCTGGGCTCGGGGTTGGGGTGAGGGTGAGTTGGGGCTCTGGGTTGGGGGTGAGGGTGGGACTGGGGGTGGGGGTTGGGGGCTATGGGTGGGCTGTGGGTGGGGCTATGGGTGGGGTTGGGGCTCGGGGGTGAGGGTTGGGGGTGAGTTGGTTGGTGAGGGTTGGGGGTGAGGGTGGGGCTGGGCTCGGGGCTGTGGGTGAGGGCTGGGGGTTGGGGGTGAGTTGGGGGTGTGGGTGGGGTTGGGGGTGAGTTGGTTGGGGGTGAGGGTGGGGGTGGGGCTGAGGGTGGGGGTGAGTGTGGGGCTCGGGGTTGGGGGTGGGGGTGAGTTGGGGCTGTGGGTGGCGGTGAGTGTGGGGCTCGGGGTTGGGGGTGGGGTGGGGCTGTGGTGGGTGGGGTGGGGGTGAGTTGGGGCTGTGGGTGAGTTGGGGCTGTGGGTGAGTTGTTTGGGGGTGAGGGTGTGGGTGAGTTGTTTGGGGGTGAGGGTGTGGGTGGGGTGAGTGTGAGGGTGGGGTTGGGGGTGAGGGGTGGGGCTCGGGGTTGGGGGTGAGTTGGTTGGGGGTGGGGTTGGGGTGAGTTGGTTGGGGGTGGGGGTGGGGGTGAGTGTGTGAGTGAGTGTGGGGGTGAGTTGGGGCTGTGGGTGAGTTGGTTGGGGGTGAGGGTGAGGCTCGGGGTTGGGGGTGAGGGTGAGGCTCGGGGTTGGGGGTGAGGGTGTGGCTCGGGGTTGGGGGTGAGGGTGAGGCTCGGGGTTGGGGGTGAGGGGGTTGGGGGTGAGGGTGTGGCTCGGGTTGGGGTGAGGGTGAGGCTCGGGTTGGGGTGGGGTGGGGCTCGGGGTTGGGGGGGTGAGGCTCGGGTTGGGGGTGGGGTGGGGGTGAGTGGGCTGTGGGTGAGTTGTTTGGGGCTCGGGTGGGGGTGGGGCTCGGGGTTGGGGTGAGTTGGGGCTGTGGGTGAGTTGTTTGGGGCTCGGGTGGGGGTGGGGCTCGGGGTTGGGGGTGAGTTGGGGCTGTGGGTGAGTTGGTTGGGGTGTGGGGCTGAGTGTGAGGGTGAGGGCTGTGGGTTGGGTGAGTGTGAGGGTGGGGTTGGGGGTGAGGGTGGGGTTGGGGTGAGTTGGGGCTGGGGTGAGTTGGTTGGGGTGAGGGTGGGTGGGGGTGAGTGTGGGTGGGGTTGGGGTGAGGGTGGGGTTGGGGGTGAGTTGGGTGGGGTGGGTTGGTTGGGGGTGAGGGTGTGGGTGGGGTGAGGGTGAGGTGGGGCTCGGGGTTGGGGTTGGGGTGAGGGTGGGGCTCGGGGTTGGGGGTGAGGGTGGGGGTGGGGCTCGGGGTTGGGGTTGGGGGTGAGGGTGGGGCTCGGGGTTGGGGGTGAGGGTGGGGGTGGGGCTCGGGGTTGGGGGTGGGGTGGGGGTGGGGCTCGGGGTTGGGGGTTGGGGTGAGGGTGGGGTGGGGCTCGGGGTTGGGGGTTGGGGTGGGGCTCGGGGTTGGGGGTGAGGGTGGGGGTGGGGCTCGGGGTTGGGGTGAGGGTGGGGCTCGGGGTTGGGGGTGAGGGTGGGGGTGGGGCTCGGGGTTGGGGGTTGGGGTGAGGGTGGGGCTCGGGTTGGGGGTGAGGGTGGGGTGGGGCTCGGGGTTGGGGGTGGGGTGGGGGTGGGGCTCGGGGTTGGGGGTTGGGGGTGAGGGTGAGGGTGGGGCTCGGGGTTGGGGGTTGGGGGTGGGGCTCGGGGTTGGGGGTGAGGGTGGGGTGGGGCTCGGGGTTGGGGGTGAGGGTGGGGGTGGGGTGGGGGGTGGGGGTGGGGTGGGGTGGGGCTCGGGGTTGGGGGTGGGGTGGGGGGGGTTGGGGTGAGGGTGGGGGTGGGGCTCGGGGTTGGGGGTGGGGTGGGGCTCGGGGTTGGGGGTGGGGTGGGGGTGGGGCTCGGGGTGGGGGTGGGGGTTGGGGGTGAGGGTGGGGCTCGGGGTTGGGGGTGAGGGTGGGGGTGGGGCTCGGGGTTGGGGTGGGGTGGGGTGGGGCTCGGGGTTGGGGGTGGGGGTGAGGGTGGGGCTCGGGGTTGGGGTGAGGGTGGGGTGGGCTCGGGGTTGGGGGTGGGGTGGGGGTGGGGCTCGGGGTTGGGGGTGAGGGTGGGGTGGGGTGGGGGTGGGGTGGGGGGTGGGGGTGGGGGTGAGGGTGGGGGTGGGGCTCGGGGTTGGGGGTGAGGGGTGGGGTGGGTGGGGTGAGGGTGGGGCTCGGGGTTGGGGTGGGGTGGGGGTGAGGGTGGGGGTGGGGCTGGGGGGGGTGGGGTGGGGTGGGGTGGGGTGGGGGTGAGGGTGGGGTGGGGTGGGGTGGGGGGTGGGGTGGGGTGGGGGGTGGGGGTGGGGGTCGGGTTGGGGGTGAGGGTGGGGCTCGGGGTTGGGGTGAGGGTGGGTGGGGGTGGGGTTGGGGGTGGGGGTGGGGTGGGGTGGGGTTGGGGGGGTGGGGGGGGGTGGGGTGGGGTGGGGTTGGGGGTGGGTGAGGGTGGGGCTGGGGTTGGGGGTGAGGGTGGGGGTGGGGGGGTGGGGTTGGGGTGGGGTGAGGGTGGGGGGGGGGGGTGGGGTTGGGGTGGGGGTGAGGGTGGGGGTGGGGCTCGGGGTTGGGGCTGGGGTGGGGGGTGGGGTGGGGCTCGGGGTTGGGGGTGAGGGTGGGGCTCGGGGGTGGGGGTGGGGGTGGGGGTGGGGCTCGGGGTTGGGGGTGGGGTGGGGGTGGGGCTCGGGGTTGGGGGTTGGGGGTGAGTTGGGGCTGAGGGTGAGTTGTTGGTGAGTCAAACGCGAAGGAGAAGCCGCAGCACTCGGATCGTCGATCGACCCGTCGCGTCTGTGAAAGCCGCTCTCGGTGAAGCGGAGGCGGACGGAAACGGACGAGAGTTAAGATGGTCGTCTGGACTTCGCTTTGAACAGCGCGGCGGCGGCGGCGGCGGGAAGGCAGTGCGGCCCGAGAGCGGCGGCGGCGGCGGCGGCGGCGGCTGAGAGGGTGACTCCGCTCCGCTCCCCCGGTGCCGGGGGTGGGGGAGGGACTATGGTTTAGTTGCCCGGCGATCCTCTGGCCCCGGAGGGAGGGATTTGCTTTGCTCGCAGTCAGACGGACCCCCTGTCCCCCCTCTCTGTAGCTGTGACCGGTAAATAAACACCACCGCAAAAGGGAGCGGAGAGGAGAGGAGAGGGAGTGAGGAGGAGCCATGGATCCGCATCCACAGAGCGGTGAGTGCAGAGCAGAGGGCGCTGGGGATACTGCCCTGTCCTGCCCTGTCCTGTCCTGCCCCGCGCTGTCTTGCCCTGTCCTGCCCTGCCTTGTCCTGTCCTGTCCTGCCCTGCCTTGTCCTGCGCTGTCCTGCCTTGCCCTGCCCTGCCCTGCGCTGTCCTGCCCTGCCTTGCCCTGCCCTGTCCTGCGCTGTCCTGCCTTGCCCCGTCCTGCCCTGCCTTGCCCCGTCCTGCCCTGCCTTGCCCCGTCCTGCCCTGCCTTGCCCTGCCCTGCCCAGCCTTGCCCTGTCCTGCCCTGTCCTGCGCTGTCCTGCTCTGCCTTGCCCTGCCCTGCCCTGCGCTGCCCCGTCCTGTCCTGTCCTGCCCTGTCCTGCGCTGTCCCGTCCTGTCCTGCCCTGTCCTGCGCTGCCCTGTCCTGCCCTGTCCTGCGCTGCCCTGCCCTGCCCTGCCCTGTCCTGCCCTGTCCTGCGCTGTCCTGCCCTGTCCTGCCCTGCCCTGTCCTGCCCTGCCCTGTCCTGCCCTGCCCTGTCCTGTCCTGCCCTGTCCTGCCCTGCCTTGCCTTGCCCTGTCCTGTCCTGCCCTGTCCTGCGCTGTCCTGACCTGTCCTGTCCTGCGCTGTCCTGCCCTGTCCTGCCCTGTCCTGCCCTGCCCTGTCCTGCCCTGTCCTGCGCTGTCCCGTCCTGGAGAGGGTTTGTGACAATAACAAGGGATCTGATGTGTGCAAAACGTTACAAAGTTTCCCAGTAATAATCTCAGGAGGAAAGGTCTGAGAAAGGCTGAATGCCAACATCTCCTCCTCCTCCTCCTCCTCACACACAGTTTCATTCCCAAATGACTCACTGCGTAATTTTTAAACTGACCCCAATCTGGGCAACACAGCCCTTCATTATATTTTAGTTTTTAGATGCAAAGGATCTTATCTAACACTCTGGCCCATGATTGGTCCCTTTTGATTTTGTTTCTTAGTGTTGTGCCAGCATTTTCTTAAAAAAAATGCCCTTTCATCTGTTTTTTTAAAACGGATGGAATAATATGTGTTAAGTTTCGCTTCTCACTTAACTTCCTTAAATGTCGTCTGATCTGCTGTGAGTCGGTGTAATGGTGTAATGTTCTCACATCCCTATTTCTGAGCTGCGTTGTGATGTTCTTTAGTTTGCATCCCTGAACACAATCCAAGGGTTTAATTTCTAATTCAATCTCGCCGCAATCTCGATTTTAATACTGTTTACCATTTCAGAGCTCCTCTCTCATAAAAATGTATTTTTGCAACATTAGCAATGTTGTACTGAGCACTAATGACCACAATGGGAATGTTGCGGAGATGTAATTTTCCTGCATACATCTACTGTGTTTCACTGGTTTCTTTTGCTGTCGGATAGTGTTTTATTTGTCAAAATCGTTTTACTGGGTGCTGATGTTGTTCACAACTCTTGATCTAATGTCACGTTAAAAAAAAAACCTTTTCCTGTCATGTGATGTAGAGCTGAAGGCAAAATTGGCCATGCTGGTGGTGATTCAACTGAAAGAAACTCCTGGGGAGAGTGAAGCAGATCGCAATGCTAACATAAACGATTATATCAGAGATGGTTCAAAGTATGCTCAGGCTCTGAGTTGACTATAAATTTCTTTACTTGAGTCTCTTGTGGTTTATGAAGGCATTCAAAGCTGGATCTGATGTAAATTATGCTGCTCAGTTGTGCATTGTGTGATTTCGTATTGCAAGTACTGTAATTGTTGGTTTGAACTGCAGTGTGTCATACCAACAAAGTTCATACAGCAGAGAACACTTCGTAAAAATCATACTGTGAGAAAAATTCACTCAAGCATTATCGTCAGTCTTCAAAAGCAACATGTGCTCTGTTTGACAACATCTGCTGTGCAGGTCAATTTGAATCTCCCTTCTGAATGATATATTATTGGTGTAGATGGGCATCAGGAGTTGTTGGAGAGGGGTTTGTCCCAGGTCATTGAAGCAACAAAGCACTTTAGTTGATGTAATTCCCTGAAGGTCTGGGTATCCGTGAAAGGCATCTGCTCAAGGGTTTGTGGTTGATGGAACCTCCCTCCTTGCTGCCGGAGCAGGTGTTCTGGAGCCTGGAGCTAATTTATCTGCATCCCAATTTGCTTGTGGTCTTTTGAATTATAGATATTTTTCCTGTAATTGTAGGCACTTTCCTGTAGTAACAGAAGTTCCATGCATGGTTGCGAGTGTTCTTCCTGCACTGTGCTGCTCCATTGTACCCATCAGGACCGCATGGTCTGGGCTGGCACATCAGTGCAGTGCTGGGGTGAGCTGCATTGTTAGAAGTGCCGTCCTTCGGCGTGTTAAACCGAGGGCCCATCTGCCTGTCCAGATCCCATGGCATTATTCAAAGTGAGTTTCTGGCCAACAAAAATACAGATAAAATTGGTTACTCAATTCATGGCTGTTTGTGGGACATAGCTGTTTGCAAATTGGCTGCTACATTCACCTGCAAGATACACAGTAACTGCACTTTACAGTGAATTCTGTGAAGTGCTTTGAGATACACCTACTGTGTAGCAGGATAGGGAGGGAGGCCACCGGCCCTCCAATACACCAGAAGTCTCAGCGACGCATCTGAGCATGTGTGCCTAACATTTGCCGAGTGCCAGGATGAGTCACAGTGCCTCCTTGTGGCCCAGGAGGACCTTACTCGCCACTCGTTGAACTCTTTTCCCTTGGAGTGATGAGTTATCTGGAGTGTACTGTGTATCAAATGCAAGGATGATTTATTATGATTAGTGAAATTCCTGTCTGTTCAACTAAGGAGAGGCTTGAATGATGCATGAAAACTGGTCTACAGGCTTGTCCTTTGATGTTGCGGTAATGGCCATGACCTTTTCTTCCCTTCCATTCTCCGTGCTCTTTGGCTCTTTATGAGGTGAAATGTGCAACGTGTGATGTGGTAATTATAATTATCTTTGGTGACAATTATCACATCACAACTCTTACTGCTTCAACTCTTTAGCTTTGATTGACCCTGAGTTTAAAAATCCAAAGCAGAAGCGTGTTGTCTGAGTTTCAAAAGCCTCTCGTGACAGAGCAAAATCCATTTTTGGTAATCTGCAGGAGCTGCTAATTTACATGCAATCTGTATTCGTGGCCTAATTACATTTTCAGCATGTTTAAGATTTACTCTGATATTCTCTGTGCTCGAAAATGCTGTTTTAATGATTACTTCAAAATCTTGGTAAAGATACAACGTTTCAGTGAAATAGCGTAGATCTCAGCACAATTTCATGGTAAATTGTGTTCAGAATAAAACCTGCTTGAACACATATCATTAACTTGCTGTATGTATGTGAATGGATTGTGGTGTCTTACTACTATTGCAGCCTCTTGACTGCTAAATGTGCAGTGATTCCATGGCTCAGGTATTCAATATTCCAGCTTCTCTTTGTGCCATGTAGTTCCACATGTACTGTGTTGGATTAGAGGAACATAGTGACAGGAGAAAACCATTCATCTCATTGTACCATCATATTAGATCACAGCAAATTGTTTAATCTTATTTCTCTGCCTTTTCTCCATATCCCTTAATACCTTTACTTCTCAGGTTTACCCACTCTTTAACTCGCTTTTGAATATTGTAATGAATTCTGCATCTGTGGTCTTGTTGAAAGGTACACTCCACATTCTTTCACTTTAGGTAAATAAATGTTTACTGATTCTCCTTTCAATTGGCTTTGTTCTACTTTTGCTTGATCTTCATGTTCACCCAGCTCTTTACAGCCAACTGCAGCGGGTGTAAATAATTGTTTTAAGTTTATAGCAAACAACAGATGTGTCAGCTGGATTATGAATGCAATATTTTGGCATAAAAACCTAGAATGCCTTTGCCTTTCAATGTTCACCTGACAGTATAGCCTTAACCCTAAAGAGAACATTTAAATTTTTTTTGCAAAATGTTCTCTAAATCTTAACCATGAGATGGCAGGGCATATATTGGCCTGCTAAGCTTGTGGGTTGAAGCCCCCAAATAACTTATGAAATTCATAAGCAAACGCTCTAACGCATTAAAACTTACAACTGTCTACTTCTGGTCAGTCTGCAATAGGGTATAACTACTCGTTAAATGGACACGTCAGGGTTTATATATATATATACATATATGTATATAGATGTCCTATGTCAGGAACTTTAAAATCAGACAGTCTCAGCAGTCCAATACAGTGTTGGGGGAGCCTACATTGTTAGAGGTGCTGTCCGTCAAATGAGATGTTAAATAGAGGCCCCGTCTGCCTATTCAGGTAGACACTAAGAATCCCAAGGTGTTACTCAAAAAGAGAAGGGACTTTCTTCTGGCCAACAATCCCCCAGATAAAATTGGTCATTAACATCATGACTGTTTGTGGGATATTGTGTGTGCAAAATGGCTGCAGAACGTGGAAGGGCAGACACGTCACCTGGGGCAGGGAATCATCCCATTCAACTCTGCAAGCCAAAGCCCTAATGGGTAGGGTAGTCCTACCTGGACAAGCAGCAGGAAAGTTTGCCAGAGAATGGCAAGCAATGTGGGTTTAGCTGGTTAGACTCCAGCAGTACCCCAATGTATACTCTGGGGTCCCCAAGCTCTTGTCAACCTGACTTGTCAAAAACAACACTTTTGTGGACTTCCCATTTTATGAAAAGGCTGAGTTTCTATAAAGTACAGAATGAATGGAGCTGTGAGTTGGTCGTTATAGTTGCTACTGTTTTCATCTTTTCTCCCTTCACACTAGTAAGCATTTATGCTTTGTTTAATGGGCAGAGCAAGCTACTAAAACATCTATATGAAGTATCATTTTACGGACTGTCAATGCCAAATGTCTCTAATGCGTGTATTTTTACACAGGTCTGCCTGATGCCTGCTCAGACAGATCATTATTGTTATGGCTGGTTTATTCAGATTACCATCAATATCATTCGGGTTATATTTTAATAAGAATTGTGTAAATATTGAATTTCTAAAACATCAAATGTGTTGAAGAACAGCACA